TACAAATGTAATGAAGGTTCTACAGATACTCGAGTACTCCTGAAAGAGACCAAAATATAATATTCTAAGAACATCGAAAAGGTGGCTACAGTAGATATTACGTTGTACAACAGAGGACCATCCACTCTTCCCTCGAAAATCTCCTGATATTTTATTCCTGTTCAGTTAAACGTTTTCACGGGATTTCCAGCTATTTCAATTGTCAAGGTCTTTTTGATGCGAGCAGCAATTACAGAACTCCAACAGCCTGCTCAGTCTATTGAAAACATGATTATAGAGACTGTACCCAGAAGATAAAGCATTCCATAAACTATGAGCACAACAATATAGGCCAGGATATCATTGAACACGCTGCTTAAGAGGGAAAATGTTAACCTACAGCGAAGTACTCAGTTACAAGATCACGGCCTCAAAAGGCAAAAAGAAAGCATCACAAGACCATACGGAATGAAGTTTCTATAAACAAGCTTGCAATGCTCTGGAACAACAACTCATTTGGAAGTGCAGTACATGGGGACTAAAGGTATTTGCCTTGCCGTTTTACAGTAACCACACTACAAAAAATGATAAATTTACTAGCTTATCCAACTGCTTTCTTTCATACCACTCCACCACTCAGTCTACATTTTCTCATGGAGACTTTGCGGAAGCAATTACAGACCTTAGTGCACAAAACTTTTCTCAAGCACCCAAATTTTTCTTCAGAGCAGAGGAGATGAAAATGCCAAACGCCTAGAATGAATCCATAAAGGAATGAAAAGGCTCAGAACTTCTTCAGTTCGCCTACATAAAAACACTAACCATTTTAAACACCCAAAATTCTTCTCCTACTTTTATAACTGCACGAGCTAGGACGTTATACTAGCGTCGCAAGACGTATCTGATACAATCCACTACTAGATAGTGGAAAAGAACACCACATTGAGTAGTCATAACTACATTACCTATTTAATGCATCTAGCTCAATTCAGGATTTTATAATGGAACAGGATACCGCCTTGAGTGATCATACTACATTACCTATTCAATACACCACACCCATGATATTAATGAAGAAAAGGCCGTGAGTTCTAGATTACTAAGCCTACGGCAAGATGTAATTCCCTCACTGAATCACTATATCAACTCTTGACTATGAGACCAAACTCAATATCCACAGCATCCATCCAGCAGAACGATTTCCATATATCTGCACCATAAACGCAGGAGTGCTGTATCTAAAAAATATCTACGCAGATGGTTTCAAATTATTCAACGTTTCAAATTATGCTAAGATTCTTGTTTTGGCATTTTTAAATTTAAAGAAGTTGTTTTTGTCAAAATTACGAATCTGACTATCAAAATAATACCCTAAATTATAGAGGCTGAAAAACCGTATAAAAAGTTAGATTTTGTAAGTTTTATAAAACTGATCTTTTTAAAGGTAAAAATGACAAAACACAAATCTTTGCGTCATTCAAAAAGTTTTTCTAACGGGAAGTACATGTCTGCGACCAACGGTTGCGAAAGTAAAAAAAAAAAAAACTGGTTGAAGACTTTTGTGTATACAATATATACTGAAACTATCTATTTTAACTCTGCAATGGAAAACCTTGTCATCACAGTAAGAGTACTTTTCGCAAAGTATAAAAGTTTCATGCTAATACATAGGTTGCTTTACCATTGTACTACTGTGAAAAATGCTAAAATTATTCACACTTTTAGCTCTGCCATGAAGCACACCTTGGTCTCACAGATTTCACCCCAGATTCTGCATAGTTATAAAAGAGTTTCATGTGAAACGAAACAGTGTATTTAACAGTACGAGGTTAAATTCTAAGTAACATTCATATTTATTTAATAATATTTATTTAATAATAAGCTATCGGTTTGGTTTAATATTTGAATATGGCAAAGCACTCGAGTTTCATCCGTCTAAAATAAGGGATGGCTTCGTGGAGAAGTTTCTGAGGGAAATTAGCTCATATTCATGTAACAGGGGTGGAAAACCATGAAATTTATTCATGCAGCAACCCATTCGCCTGGATTCGAAACCAAGACGAACTTATCAGTATTTAGTTGTCTTTACCCGCTCGTTGAATGGTAGTGCCATGAGATATCGGTGTACAGAGCTATGAACCAAAAGCACAGGAGTGACAGCGCATCTTATCAGTGTTTTTAATTCTTTTAATGATGTTTTATGTGAAGAAAATTTATTCATAAGAAATTTTATATTTTAAAGAAATATTATAAGAAATTAAGTGCTACCAAAATTTTCGCCAAGAGCAACTTTTATTTTCATCTTTTTCTACTTGCTGGATGTTTCTATAAATTTATTTGTGACTGATCGATCATAATGTCGCAAAATATAAAATATTAGCATCAGGAATGTAATTAAAAATTACTGGCTGGAGCAATTTTAATTTTTATTCATAATGTTTGTTAATATATTTCAAAAGAATATGACATTCAAAGATGCTAACCAGGAATATACTTTTATGAAAGTTAATAAAACTTTGATTGTCATTTAAAATTTTCAAAAAATGTCCAATAATTTGATAAATGATCTCCGCAGTTTACCACGCTTTCAGACTTAAAATAGAAAAGTTGTGCAGAGTTCTTTCTTTTAATTTTTATACAGTCAAGCTCTTCTGCCATGAGGATATTATTACCATATAAATTATCTTCTATAAGACATCATCTGCAAAGAGTTCGGTTGAAATTGATTTCCCATTACGTTTTGATTCTAAAGAGTTCTGGTTCATCATCTCTTTTGGGAGTATAGAGAATTAACTAAATTTTCAAAGTAATAGCCGGTCCATAAATAGTAATACCAATAACAATAGTAAAGTAACATATGTGTTAAGACTGAGGACTTCATGGTATATAATTAAACAGTTTAGCAGTTGCATTCTTTGAAGAAACTATAATCCTTTTATCTTGAAGCTATTTGGAAGTGTTCTTCTATGCAATGCTTTTTGAAGAAATTTTTTTTTATAAATGAATTTCCCCCAAATTTTTTGTCTTTGTTGTTCGAATCAAGTAAATTAATAATTGTATTCCAAGATACTGCCGCAAATAATTCTGAAGAAGTACTGCCTGTTTTAAATCAGACACACGCTCGTAATGCAATATTTAGTATAAATATTCCTAAAGCACTGTAAGTTAAGAGCAGAGTAGCAACATATGCGCTCCAACGTCTGCCAAACATTTTTCGAAAGGTAGAAGCCGATGAAATGAGGTGAAATATCTATTTATTTTATTTAACCAGGTACTTAATACGTTTAAAATGTTTGATACACTAGCTATGGAAGTTTATATATAGTAACCATTTAAGACTACAAATACTGATGACAGAAAAACCACCTCAGTGTATATTTACATAAATAATTAAAATATCATTCATTAAAAATATTTATCACTTCTCTGAAGTTACAATACTATCTTCAAGAGCCTTATTTTATTATACAAAAATTGTGATGGTTTTTTTGAACGGCATTTCTTTCGCAGTAATGATTTGAAAGCAATCATTCTGTACATTATGTGATGGTATAAAAAATACGGAAAGTTCATTTGAATAAACAATATTCAAAATTTACTGCAGTGAGGTATTAGTTTTAACATTACCTAAAAGTAGAGAAAAGATGGATAGTTGATATGCAGAAAGCTCCGTTTTCTAAACCTTAAACTTAAATCAAAAAAAATATTAATTTGCTTTAAGTTTACATAAAATAATATAGAGAATGGTCCTTAATATGAAACTCTGGTTAGTTTCATCGGTTGGAGAATTATACAATTAAATATGATTTAAAAGATCTTATCAGGTTCTGTGTTCCTCCTTACTTGCTTTGGAAACATTAACTGTCCTGACTCGGAACAAGGAGCTTACTCAAGCTATGTTCAATAAATTGTGAAGTAGACAATACACATAGGAAGGGTATACGAAACCCTTTATTTTTTCTATCTTTACAATGATTTCCGGAACTTCAGAATACAGAGACCAACCACTTGTGGTCTGAACGTAAGAATATAAAAATATTAACTAAACTCTAACTAAACTAACTTTGGATTAATAAACAAGTGCTTAACTCCAAGATTGGCCGTAAATTAACAAAAAGCCGTATGTAGTACAGAAAGCTGCTAAAACTACGATACGTTTAAAATTATCAAGAGGATTAAACCTCTGGCCTTGAAGGCAACCAGCAACCGAGTAAAACTACTATGGCAAGCTGCCTGCTTCTAATAGCTCCTTCCTCTCTCTTGCTTGGCAAAAAGCCACAACTTAAGTACTTGGCGTTAGCAAGACAAATTTGCATAAATAAGTTAAAAGCTTTTAATTCTGGCCGGAAGTAAAAAATAAGAAGTGATAGTAAAGATTTAACATAAAATAAACGTTAGTAAAACTTAAGATCCTTACAATCTAAATAATTATAATTATAATAAATCTAAATAATAAATAATTAAAGATATAAATAACCCAGCTAAAAATTTCCCGAAACTGAGTCTGAGTTTATTGAGTTTGCTTTAGTTCGCATCTGGAGTGAAACATACCTATTTCGGAAAAGCTTCAAACACAACATAACTACTTTTAAATAAAAATGCAAGCTAACTGCAATCCCTTAAGAACATAACTTATTCAATGTTTAGTTATTAATGATTAAAGCATCAGCTCTCCTTTTTTAGTTTACGTGAAAAGCAACACATATATTATTAATTTACATTGAAACAGCTGTTGAGTTTAATTAGTTTTTAATATATAGGATTTCTTGTCCACTTTCATAAATATTTACAATTATAGCTCTGAAATGGCTTTAAAGTAATTATATGTAGTCTTTAATCGTTTATCTCATTTAAACATATTTAAAAATTTACTTGTGAACTCTAACATTTTCTTTATATATAAAATACCTTTTCAGTTTAGTTTTTCCGCTAAAATAGGAAAATACAAACCACAAATATTATCACTATTTACCAGAGAAATGTGCATTAATTATTCAGAAATTATGAAGAAGTATACATACCTTGCAGCCCAAAATGACTGCACAGGAAGAAATCGAAATTGAGGGGATGAGTTACAGTTGTGTCCACAGTTGTACCTGGAGGTATATTTCTCATTCTTCCTGCTCCATCTCTACTATCTTCAGGCATAAATCTAGTATGATGTCGTTTCTGAACAACAATGAACGTTATTCCAGGTTTATAATCTTCTCCTAAAGTTATACAAGCTTCTCTAATACATTTGACCTCATGATCTCTAACCTTCTCAAACTGACCTTCACTAACACCATCACGATAGAAAATAATTTTTTCGGGCTTTTTTCCTTTAGTGTTTCTATAAAATGTCTTCAGTAGGTCCAAAACCATACTTTTCAAATCAAGAATGATTTCAACAGATTTTTTATTTTCATCTATATTCGTCTGAGCTCTGATAGTAACTGCATACCTTGATGGATGGGCATCCAGGCTGCCAACAGCCGCAGCAATGGATGGTTTTATACGCTGTGAAGGACCAGGATGAGAAACATCTGCTCCAATAATAATAACTGGCTTACTCATTATAGCAGGTTTTTCTCCGGGTGTTAGAGCATTATTAATGCCACCCATTTTTGCGTTAATTTTCAGACAAAGGTTACTTGCTAAAGCAGGTTTGCATTTTTTGACATTATCATCTTTTATACATTGCGTACAAAGCCCAATTATAGTTTCTGCTACTTGTTTAATCTCTCCATAAATAGATTTATCTCCACCGGGAACAACTATCACTGCTAAGTCAGCACTATATTTCTGCTTTACATTTTTAAGCACATTCTCGATTCGTGCAGATCGAGGATTTATAATGTCAATAGAAGAAGGTCGGCCTATAATTATACCACACTCTTGAGCAATTTTGCACAATAATCTTGCAAAGTCAGAAAGGATATCTTGAGAAAGAAACCTGGGATTAGAAAAACTCAATAATACCCATGACTGTACCTCGGCAGCACGAAAAAATTGCTTATCCCTCATGTCCCAAGAACCATCTTTTGGTTTAATTCTTATAGGATCAGGACTTCGCGCTGTTTTGTATTGGACATTTGGTGCTTCCAGAATTCTTCCTTCGAGCTTTAATGGCTCAGAATACACTGTCATTTCAAATTCCTTCAAAAACCTGTCACTATTATATTCGGCCATTTTTACAATATCTCTGATTTCATTGAATCTATCACGAGGGGCTCGAGCAGTAAATTTTATCATTTCTGCATTCTGTTTATCTTCGAGCTTTTTTCTACAATGTTGACCTGCCACTACTTCACAAACCTCAATTGGTATATAAATATTCTTTTTTTCAGGATTTACCTGCAAGCATGGGAGATGACCATACCGCAGTCTTCTGTTATACTGGCTTTGAAAATATTCAGACACGGTCATTGTGACAGTATTTCCATTATCTGCAATTGAAAACGATAGACGACTAGCACTTTCTCTGGTCAGTCTCAAAATGCGATATTTCCTTTTGTAACGTAAATGATTCACCTGGATTTCCAAAGATTTTAATTCTTTTGAAATCCTTTTAATTTCCGCATCTTTCAGTTGAGGAATCTGACTTAAACTATGCACGGTGGTTCTCAGAATGTCAGCTATATAGTTAAGAACAGGTGTTGACTGATAAAATGTAGTAGCTGTAACGTCAAGATTTACCATAGGTCTCCATTGACCCAATCGCAAACTCTGATGATAACCAAACCAGATTTCTCTTCCCCCACCAAGAGGATGTACATCATCTGGGTGCGGTGGGTAAAAAAATGATCGGCCAACAGGAGTATACCTCAAACAAGGGCCATGACGAAGAACCGTTTCTAACGCCATAATAGCATCTTGATTTACAGACGTTACTTGACCATCAAAAAGAGCGTGCAAAGAATCTAAACTAATGGCACATGAATTCGTATCCCTTTTTCTTACAGGCTGAATAACAACTACAAAAGTATCGCTCCTAAGGACTCCAGAATCAGATGGAGCACTTGGAGCTTCGTCTTCAATAACTACTTCACATTTCAAAGGTACGGTTTTCATATTCAAAGGTTTTCTAGTATACAAATTTTTTCGACCATCATAGGCAGCTACCAAACCTCTGAAATTTTCATTAACCTTTAACATCACGTTAACTATTTCCCTGTTACGTTTGGTGCTTAAACAACGATATTTCCTGTCTTCACTTAAGGGAGCTTCAGCTCCAGTGCCAGTTTCAGAAATATTTCGTTTATTTACAATATCTACATCATAATGATAAATGTTTCCCTTAGGTAACTGAACTGGATAGCAATTTGAAATCAATCTGAAACGACGACCTAATTGGCCTTCCCCCGGCCGTCTTGGTAATTCTGTTGTTAATGTTAATTTTTCCTTAAACTCAATCCCAAGCTCCTCAAGTTTTACAGCCTGAGGTTTTCTCGCTTTTTCGCTTTTTTCATGAGAAGGCTGAATCGCAGGAACTTCAAGCTGTGGCTCAGGTGGTGGACGTTGCCTAACAGCTTCTTCACGTGATGGTCTAGAATCTCTAAAGGAAGGAGCTTCGTATTCTCGTTCAAATGGAGGACGGTGTCTTGTAGCATCTTCACGTGGTGGCCTTCCACCTCGTGATGGTCTATGTGGTGATTCTTCATATGAAGGTGGTGGAGGACCTTCTTGCCTATCAGGCGGACCACCTCTGCCTAAAACAAAAACAAACGGGGGAGACTTACTTACCGACAATACGATTTCAGTTTTTCCAATATAAATTTAAGAGTCTTAGATTGAGCTTTATTCTGTAGTAAGTAATTAGTAGAAATTTGCGATAAAAAAGGAACTCAATTTAAGCAAATAAAATCTAGATATAAAAAATAACAAAAAAGCATGTGTTTAAATTGCAAATTCTTATATCTTAACTGGATTTAATAGCCCAAGATTAGGAATACAAAATATCAAAATATGTATTTTTGTTGTATAAAATATGTATTTTTGTTGTATAAATTCTTCAGGCAAATTTCAAATATTTTCTCTAATTACGCCTTTGATATTTTATTTGTGATATATAAACTATCCCTGATTAATATAGTTTAAAATTTTAAAAGTTCTCATAGATAAAACTATTTTTTTAATTATAAATTAATTTTCAGTTTATATAATTTCTATACTCGTATGAGTTTATAAGTTTCATTAACGCTAGTCTAAGCATTAACTAAGCATTCTTTTTACTTCCTTGTACTAAGTAAAGGAAATATTGTAATCAGGAAAAATTCCCAGTGTCGTATTTCAACAAAAATATCCATTTTGACCGCTACCAAATGCGATTTAACGATGTTTTTGTTTTCATTTCACATCTGTACATAAGGACAGAATAAAGGACTCTTTTTCCTAAAATAAATTATAAAACTGATTTAAAATTAATTCAGAAGAGATTTTTTCGTGGCGTGTTTATGTACGTACGTACATACGCACGTACGTATCTCGCATAACTCAAAAACGAGTAGCCTCAGAACGTTGAAGTTTTGTATATAGGACTGCTCTAGCAAGTACCTGTCCACTTCCCTCATTGGTTGCAATAGGCCGCACCAAAGTATATATATATATATATATATATATATATATATACCCACTCTGTTATTCGGCTCGGTGAGCTCAGTTTTTTCTTATTCTTATATGTTATGTTGGTAAATTGTGCATCTAAAAAATTGAGTTCTGTTATTCTTATCTTCCAGTTAAGGTTTTTATACCTTTACCTAATTTGCATGCAATAGTTGTAAAATTAATAACAATTTAAAAGTTATGAAATCTGAAAGTGTCTGTTTGTTTACAAAGTAATTTATGATAGAAATGCAACCAAATTTTCAATATTCTAAATAAAAAGTCTTTGTTGTTTTCTTGGGTATGGAAGAAACGATAAATCTGAAACTCGTTAATTGTATTAATTTGTTTAATAACTTCAGATCAGTAACAGAATAACAAATTTTAAAAACTAGTTCACTGATTAAATATTTGATTAAAACAATTTATAAATGCCAGTAAATAACCTAAAGTGCGGCTAAGCCTAATTTTTGTTTACCAAAGGACCCATATTTGTTTACATTTGAAACATAGCAGAATAGTGAATTGAGTTTCTGCACCAACTTTTGCGTCTTTTTGCCGAATGGGACTAAAAGTAAGCTTTCAGTTTTGTGCACCGAAAAATTTACCTTGTTGCCTGCTGGCCGAATTGCAAGAAACTTTAATTTTAATTGTAAAAATTGTTTTTTAATTATTTGAACTGTATTTGATGTTTTATTTATTTATTTTTTCTATATTTTTCAATTTTTAATGAAGGTATTTTGAGGATTTATGCACTTTTGCATTATCGCGAAGTGAAAAGTACATAAAAGGGGGATATTGAAGGAAAAATATATCTCTAATGAAATTCTGGAAAACAAATTTAAATAAAATGCAGCAAAAAATGCGTATAATTAATATTTCGTACAAGAAAGTTATGTGGTGTCCACATCAATTTTTTTTCTTTGGCTCGCTTTTCTGTCTCTTCAGAGGTAGAAGGTAGGGTTATGTTAGATAAGCTGTACATAAAAGGGGGATGTTTTAAAGAAAATGATAACAAGTCTCTGATATGTCCATTTGCATTGTTGAACCCATCATTGTAGGCAGTGATTCTTCTGTTGCAGCGTCGAAGTAAGCCGTAGCAATGTTGCTGTGCTGGTAATCAGCGGCAAAGCAAATACCGTCGCACCGTACGTGTAGACATTTGGTACTGTTAGGCAATGCACTCGGTTAGTCTTCAGATCGGCCCACCAGCGGCCGAGCGGTAAAGTCGCTGAACACTGGTAGTTCGGTCCGAGGTTCGAATCCTGTAAACGGGCTGGCTGCATGGCCGTTTTTGTGGTTTTAGCGATGTGTGACATGTATACGAGCCTTCGAAAGTCCTCCATGAAGGCATCCCTCCCCTTAGGCAGATAGCCTTAGTGTGTGTTGCCATAATTAAATAAAACAAACCAAACCAAACCAGTTTCCAGATCCAGGTTTCTGATGTTGGTTTAAATGCAAGACGTACAGTAACATGACACTTGCTCTATCCTCAACGAAAGCTTAAGAATGAAGAGCATCAAAACTGAGAACAGAGCAATGTGCTTTTCACAGAAAATCTGAATTCTGAATTTAGACTCTCTGAATATGCTATGCATAGAATTAAGAATTCATTACTATTAAACATCACGGAAGAGGGGGCTATAGTTTCTTAGCGTGGGCAAAGATACTGTTCGAATGGAAAACAAAGCTTTATACTTTCGATAGAGTTTCTGTTACAGGTAAGAAATATAACTGACAATTTGGAACAGCATGTTAACTTTTCTGAAGTGCTGATAGGTCATATTTTCTATTCATAGATTTTTTTTAAATAGCTAACTTCAAATAAAATTCATATGTTTTTTCATCTATTTAAATATTTTATATTAGCAAGATAACACTAGATTTTAATTTAACTACGGCACAATGAAAATGTCCGACTAGCCATTTTTCACTATAAACGATTTGCGTTATTTTCAGACCGTAGATTTATAAGACTGTGGAAAAATTTAGGCAGCGGTTATTATTAGAAAAGTCTTTTGCGCTATAAACAGATCTAGCGTGTACTAATTTGAAGAAACTTTCATTTTTAAACCAACAGTTTAAACAATAAAAAATGTAACGAATTTTAGTTACCTCGTCCTCTTCCTCTTCCTCTTTTTGGAGGCATTTCTGCTCTTCTTATAAATCACACCAGTGGTCTTAAAATCTGAAATTATAAAAGAAACAAAGGCTCAAAATGAAATTCGTGCAAATATGTGTTTTACAAACACACATATTTAAAACAAACGAAACATTTCGTGTCAATATCTGGCCGAGATAATATAATATGTTTTTGTCATGCTAACGATGCTATTTTACGTAAGTGGAAAGAGTCAAATGTTATCAATTTTTCATACTTTTAAAACCCATTAAAACGTTTAACCTAAACCAATATAGGAATACCAGAATAAATAAATGACACTTTCAGATATTACATAAGTAAAACTAACTTCGAAAACAGATATTTCTGACCTGTTTTGTAATCCAGAACCAACATTACAACAAGAGCAAAGGGAAAAGATTATTTCGCGGAATGTAGGCGGCAGTTTTGCAAATGCATTAAAAATTGTGTATATTATCACGAATATTATTTGAAGTAAAATGAGAAAAAGGGCACATTAATTGTACAACATTGATAGCAATTAAACATATCTATGCATAAACTGAATCATTTTTTTATGTCTCTATTCAAGAGAAGGGTAATGTTTCATTTTGGAATTACTTGTGATGTCGAGTTTGATAAAATTAACGCTTTATATCCAAGATGACATTAGGTCGTCTTAAAATGATTGATTTATCTGCCGACATAAAGAACACACTTTTGTGGTCAGGAATTCTTATGATAAGAGTTTACTTTTTTCTTCTTCTGAGCAGATAAAGTTACAGATTGCTAATAATATAAAGTAAAAAAAAAAATGAGATATCCATTCTAAGTATTAAAGGCTGAATGGGTTAGATTATTTGAATACGACAAAGCACACAAGAGCCATCTGCCTAAGAGAGGGGATGTCTTCGTGGAGCACATTCTAAGAAAAACTGTTTCGTATTCACGTTACACATGGGGGAAAACCACGAAGTCAGCAGCTAGCCCGTTCACTGGCAATTAAAACCCGTGTCAAACTCTCAGTACTTAGCAGCCTTAACCACTCGGTCATTGGTGGGACCATGTAAAAGATAAAGAATACATTGAAGGAACTTATCATAAAGGAAAGTTAAAGTGTATACAAGTTTTCAAGCCATACTTTTTTTAGTAATACGTGATGTTTTAGTCCACCTTGAAAATTGCAACGCATTTATATATATGTTGACATTCAAAGATGAATTCTTTTGCAATTTCTTTTGGAGAAGAACTGTCATTATCTGTTTTAAAATGCAACAAATGCTCACCTCTCTAAAAGGTCTTTCTTCTGCTTCTGTTCTATCCTCCTCCCTCATAAAAACCATTTAACTCTATAGAGGCAAGCCAGAGTAATCGAAAGAAAGGGTAATAAAAAAGATACATAAAAATGGCTATTGACGCCACGTCACCACTAATAATCAAGTAGTAAACTAGCAAAAGTGCGATCCATTTAATTAAAGTACAGGTGTGGAATATAAGAAAAAGAATTAAAAGGAATCTATTCTGATTCATGTTTGGAAAAGTATTACATTAAAACACTCTAAAATGGGTAATAAATAATTCACACGTTAAAATTTTGTGTAATGAACTATTTCCTCAGTTCAAGAAGACCCGGTTTTAAAATAGAACTTTAGATATGATTTTAATGCATTGAACAAAGAACAATTTTTCAAACAAAACTTTATGCTCCAAAATCTTTAAAATTTAGTTATGGGATTTAAACGTGTACCCTCTTTAATAAGGGGGGGGGAATGTAATGAAACCCGTTGTCACGGTGGGCGAGGGATAATTCAGTATTTATCTTAAAAACATGAACTTTTCCCTCTTTGATTATGCTTAGCTGGTAATCTGCTGGTATGGTCTTGAAAGAAATTTCAAAGGTACATAACAGTGTCTAGAATGAATATAGCTACGTTCTAATAGACGGTGTCATAGATAAAAGGGGGATGCTGAGTAGACTATTTAAAATTTAATAACAATAATCCAAGTGGCGGGAAAAATGCAGATTCAGTTTCAAAACGTCTAATAATGTAGTTAAGTTCGAGAAAACAGTAGAAGTTGAAAAGACTAATATTTCCAAAAGTCGTTAACCCCTGAGTATCAGATTGACGATCTGCGGATCTGTAGGTCGATGCTCTATCCGTTCAGTACTCTGTTGATGCTCGACGCTTGGAAAAATATGAAGTGACTAAGAAGCAGATCAGGAACTTGTGTGGAAAAAGCATCCAAAGTCTGATAGTTTTAACTATTTTTACTTAATATATTAAAGACATGAGCTGTGAAGGGTCGAGCAAAGTAATCATCGTTGATGATTACATAGTTTAGCACTTCAGAAAAATCAGCAAAGTGGTTATGGATGGCTTTTTGGTAGGAACTTCGTTCAATTTGTTGAGGTAGGTCTTAATGGTTGAGGTAGGTTAGTCGATGTTCAGATCTCTATGAAGATTTTTGTTCCTGATGAAATAAAGTGCTCCAGTGGCATGGTAGGCCGCCATATTAGGGCACCACAAAATATCGCAGATCTGGAGTCACAACTTATGAATGCCTGGAAGAATGTGTCGCAGGATGACATTAGGAACTTCTACCACTCCTTGCCTGGACAAATTCAAGCATACATTGCCGCCAGGAGCGGTTCGACCAACTACTAATTTGAACATTCAATGGGTGATTGTGAACCGTGAACAGGTACCTTGGTTTTTTAATCATTTTATTATCTGTTGTTATTCACATATTCACTTTCATCAAAAACAACCACTTCCTTCATGGTGCTTCGAATTTTTTTTTTTTTTTTTTTTTTTTTTTTAAGAGTGCATAATGCAGGTCTCTAAAATTTGGTGGCAACAGTTTGAAAAGTAAAACGGACATTTATAGTGATTCAACGCAAAATCGCAAAACGAAAACAATAGTCTTTTAGGGACAAAGCCCCTTTGAATTAAAACTATAAACAACAACAAAAAATTAATAAATAAATAAATCAAAACATTTTGTCTTAATGATTTTTTTTTCTGTACTTAAACTCTCTCGGGCTAATGTGCCTACCTCTAACTTGCATCAAACTAACTATTTATGTAATTTCCCTATTTCTGCTCTCTACTTAGATATTATGATGTGTGGAGGTACATGGTTTAGAACCATGAGCACTCCGAAATACTTAATCGTTGGCATTGGCAAGAAACGATATATTTAATTATCGTATGTTATAAACATACACAAGATCGGGCACTTGTCCAAGAGTCTGTAATAAAATAAAATAAAAGGGCTAATATTCCATAAGCGGGGTAAGTTGGCGCCAAACTATCTTGGCCTTCAAAATTTGGCGACTTTTTTTGGCGGTAATGAAAGCACTAAGATGTAATTTTTAAACGTAAACAGAATAGTAACTTTTAAGTTTTGCAGTAGTGAAACGGAGTTATTTTATGTAAACAGAATAGTAAAATGAGATGATAAAATATTAGATGAATAAAACAAAGTTCAGCTGCTTTGCAAGTAAAAACATAGTCCTAGCGGGAAAAGTGCAGAATCGCCCACAGCTTGGCGCGTTTTTAAGAATTGCATATACTCGGTATCCATGTATACATCGACCTATTTTCGCTTAAAAAAAAATCCCAGAATTGCACAAAAATGGCATTGCGCACTCCCTTGACTTTATCCATGTATGTACACATCGACCTATTTTCACTTCAAAAGTCAAAGAAAATTGACAAAAATCCAATTCTTCTTACTCTTGTAAAAAGCGTCAAACAAATAAGTAGGCGATTCTGTACTTATCTAGCCGTCTTATCTATGTAATTCATCATAAAATATTAGGATGAATAATTCTGCAAATAATATATACACTTATCAGATCAGAGTACTTCGAAGAGAGTTTTAAACGTAAACAGAATAACAAATTTTTGATTACAGTGGTGAACAGCGAATATTATGTGCAAACAGATTAGTAAATGAAATTGATTAAATGATAAAACAACGTCGTGGAATTCAACACACTAAACAACTTTCGTTCAAAACTTTAAATATTCCACATCATTCGATTTCTACATGCAAGAAACAAAACTAAAAAATAAATAAATAATAATTAACTAAATAAAATTAAATGAAAACATTCATAGATTATAAACTTCACGTCATCTGAAATCCAACATTCTCTTATCAACAACAGCTTAACCTTCTGCAAATATTTATATAAATATAATATTAAACATATATATAATAATAATATTAAACAGTAAAACTTTTTAAAACAAACACAGTATTTCAAAATTAAATTTAAAAAAAAAAATCTTCTGGCTACACTAAATTCACGCTCTTACAGTTACCGAAATGAACCTCTAGGTTTGCCACAAGAAAACATACAACCGGAAACCACAACCAAATCAGAATCGCGCCGAATAAAAATCTGATGTGTACACTACATGACTTCCTTGTACGGAATATTAAATTATACGCAATTTTTCTTGCATCTCATTTAAACTTATTGGATTGAATTAAATCTACTTCGCCGACAGCGCATAAACCACAATAGAATAAATGCATTCTTTAAAATTCATTCTAGTATTTGTTTACCATAGCGACACTCTGGCGCTAGATTCACTTAACAGTATTATATTTCGTTCATATTATAACTCATAATGCACAAAATTTATATCATTTAAAGAACAGAATTATCTAATCGTTGCCACATGTTCTATTCAAATACTATAATAAAGCTAGAATGATGTATAAACGAAATTAAGCAAACAAAACAAAAAAGAAACAGTTTTTCACAGACGATTGAGTATTTCTCATTCAATTAATTCAGTTCTCACTTCGCGAGAAGACAAAAATACATAAAAACTCAAAATATCGATATTAAAAATTACGAAGTAAATCTTAAACACTTATTTCCTCGAAAAAATTCCAGAAAGGATTAAGCATGATTTAATTGGCAATAATAAATGAAGGCGTTATCTTTGTTGTTGCGAAGTTAAGTTTCTCTAGATTGGCAACATATCCACTACTCTGCTGTTTCAAAAGTAAACAAGCAATGGCCGCCATAAAAAAAGGCTTAG